GTGTGTGTGTGTGTGTGTGTGTGTGTGTGTGTGTGTGTGTGTGTGTGAAGGTCTCCTGGGTTTTGTATATACATACTGAAGCTAAAGGTTGACATTAGGTATCTCTTCTGCTGTCTTCTACCTTATCTTTTGAAGCAGGGTTCTCTCAGTGAACTTGGAAATTACCATTTTGGCTAGGATAGGCTGATGGACCAAGAGCCTCAAGCACCACGTGTCCATACCTGCTAGTGCTGGGGTTACAGGTTCATACCACCATGCATGCTTTTACACGGGTGTTGGGGATACATACTCAGATTCTCATGCTCAAATAGCAAGCACTTGACTGAACCATCTTCCCATCAGCCTTGAACACTGACCACTTAAAGGTCCCCTTATTTTCAGGCGGTTTTTATTTTTCAAGTAAATATTTATTATTAAATATCCCAGTAATTGTAGGAACACAAGAACAAGAAGCAAGGTCCAGCCTCCCATGCCACCAAATTGTCTCCATCTCTGATATCACATGGAGTATGGCTTTCTTGGAAACCAGTCCTGGTCTTTCTGCAGACCCCAGCCTTAAAGTCAGGACTAAGCAGAGCCCAGGAGCCCCACCCAGGGACTTAGTGACATGGCTTGAGGGTGAACAGGAAACCCTGTATTCTGACTTCATACAGATGAACACCAAGATAGAATTTTGCTGAGTACACACTTTAATGCATACTTATACACATTTTTGTTAGTAGAGGTACATGTTTATGGAACAAATATTAAAAATTTCAACAGGAAGTTTCTGCATTAAAGGTCTGGGAGTCTTCTGCTGTGCCTTGCTTTGCAGACTCAGTAATTCTTAAAGAATTTACAGAAGGAAGCCATTTTTTTCAGAAAGGTGATTGTCTTCAATGAAACGTTAAAATATACTCCAAGCCCACCAAGCACAGGAAGGTTAAGGAGAACATTCTAATGCTCAAGAGGCAGGTTTGATGGAGAGGTTATGCAATCAGCACCCTTGGCTGGGCAGCTGGCAGGGCAGAGTTCAAATTCAGTCATTCATTCCCCTCCATATCTCAACTGGAAATGAATGAGGAATTTCCCCCCCCCCCCATTTCCAGAGACTGAGACAGTTGGAAGTCTTCAGGAAGGCCTACTTTGTGCACAAGTGCTTTGTTATAAATATTAAAGAGAGAACACATTGTCTTTCATAGAAGAGAGCTCACTGATGTGCTGTGGTGAATAGATACATAATTTCTAAGACCGATGTAGAGGAATTTTTATGTTGTAGAGAATTAAATTCTCAGATATGAAAATTGAACAAAACTCCAATTATTGCCAGGTGTCAATCATGTAGGCTGCCAGGTGCCCCATGGAAACCATCCTGGAACTGAAATATATATCACTGCTTTTTCCAGCTAACTTCATGACATAAATTTTGTTTTGTTTTTAATCACCTCAGCCCTCTTCCAAGCAGTGTGAAGAAGCAAATCCTAACAGACAGAAGTCAGCACTTTGTCCATAGCTTTAGTTTAAGAGAGGAAGTAGTTCTTAAGCGCAGGCTCATTGTGACTTGCAAATTTCTCACCCCTAGGAAAATAAAAGCTTCTTGTTGCAATATACGGTGTTTGTGTGTGTCTCTCTGCACCCTCAGCTACGGTGAGAAGAGAGGATAAAGACTGTCCATAGAGAAGAAGGGGTTATATTTTTGACACATGAACATGAAACCATATTGCTTGATCTGTCCAAACTAGAGCTCTCTTTAGTTCTTCACTTATAACACTGTTAACTGACAGATCTGAGAATCCAAAGTTTCCTAGAATACTCGAATTGCCTCTAGAACCCTGGGTTTTAGCTTTAATTTATTACTCATTTCCTTACTGTTTCTTCATCCTTCACTCCCTAACAGAAAATTATAGTTATATTTTTCTTTCCCTGAGGGCTTGCTCGCACTGTTCAGAAGCCCAAGACTGACCTAGATTAGCTGTGAGGAAGTTGGGAAATGGAATTTGTATAACCCCACCCACCTCTCCTCCACATGCCTGTGAGGTGACTCATTGGGGAGGACATGTCAATCAACACCAAGCCCTTAAAGCTAAAGAATAGTTGCATGAAGGCCTCCTGTGGCATTTCAGGGGCATGTTTGCCTCTAGATTGAAACCCAGAGGGTCTCCTTGAAAACACAAACCTCTTCTGCTCACAAACTGCAAAGCCTTTCAAATTCAGACTAAATGCGCAATCTCCAAATCCAATCTCTCCGCCTCTCCTCTTTTCAGACACACGCATTCAGGTAAAGACAACTATGAGAATGGACACAAACACCCAGAGGCTTAGTCCCACTCCAGCTTTTTCCAAATGAATCATACCCCTCCCCACACTTCGTTAAAATGACTCCTTTAATTTCCTGGTGCAGAGGCCTAAACAAATACTCCCAGGGCTGTAATGCCTGCTTTCTTCCTATTTCAACTGTCACTTCAGTCACTTAGGAAGGCAGAAGTAGCGAAAACAAAGCAAAAGATGTACTAGAAGCTGTGGCTGGAAACCCTTTCCTTTGGAGACAATTAAACTGGACTTGGATCCTGTTCTCCATTAGGGGCTGATACATCTGTTGCTAAGCTCCCAACCAAACTCTCCTGCTCCTCAATTTCCTGGTATTCCTTCTTCTTCTTGTACTTCTGAGTACTGTAGATGGCCAAGGTAATGACAACTCCCAGTGCTATGATGACTCCCAAAGTGATTCCAGCAGCTCCCCCTGCTGACACTCCATTACTGTCCCCATGGATGACTGTCAAGGCTCTACGAAGCTCCAGAGGCTCTCCCAGCTTCCACTGGTTGGTCTGAGGATCCTTAATCCAGGATCTGGCAGTCTCACTACTGGTCACTACGACAGTGTTGGTGGCAACTTGGCTCATGAGGGGTGGTTTGGTGTAAGGTGGGAGCCTGACAGGGAGCAGGGACCCTCCTGTGAAGATTCCAGCCTTGACACAGTAGGACACTTGGCACCCATCACTGATAACAGCTAGGTGTTGGCTGAAGCCCCCAGGGCACTTTTTCAGAGCTGGTGCTCCTATATCTTTGGCTGTATCAGAATTAGCCAAGGGGTTCCCCATTATACAACTGAAGAACCCACCAAAGGGGACTGAAAACCTGTACCCCAACTCATAATCCTGGGACACACATACCTTGAGGCTTTCAAACAGGTTCACTGGAATGTAGCCAGCTGGGCATGACTGTGCATTTGTCATGGGATTGATGCTCTTGTCAGTGAAGACTCCTCCAAAGAGAAGTCCTGAGTTGTCAGGCACTTGGCCAGTGGCCGCACACCAGTAAGCCCTAAATTCAGCCTTGGCCACTCGGAACACATCTTCACACACTGTCTTACAGAAAATCTTGAGAGTGCATTTCTTTTTACATTCCAGGCGACTGTAACCCTCCTCATGGGTCTGAGACAGCAGATGAACAGGAGCGTAGCCAGAGGGACAAGAGAAATCGCCAGTGAGCAGATTCTTCTGCTCCAGGTTTTGGCAAAGACCATCACCTGACAGTTCAGTGCATTCCTGATAAACTCCACCAAAGGTGAAGTTGTTTACTTTGGCATCACAGGAAGCATCGTCCATATTGGCTTGAAAATTGAAGTTGGGGGAGTCGACATTTGTGCAGCCAGGGTGAGTGTTAAAAGTGTAATAGTGTCTCACAGCAGTTTCCACTGTCTTTGACAGCTTCTTCACCAAGGGACCTGGCAAGCCAGGCAGCTTGTCGGGTTTAATGAAGAAATGAAGAGGCAAGCCAGCACGGTCTATTGCCACTAGGTGGTTAGTGATGCCCTTCTGCCAGGTTTCCAAGGTGATGCCTGGATAGAAAGGAACCCCTCCAAAGCTCTGCACCCTAGAGTTGGTTCTGTTAGACAGGTAGCTCTTGGTCAAAGTGGTCTGAGAAGTGTAGTCTGTTCCAACCTTGAAGTTCACAATGTTTAAGAAAGCAATCCCAGCAGAGGCAGTTACAGCATTCCGGCTGTTCTGGTTGTCTAGGAGGAAGGAGGACCTTATGTGATCCTCCTGAACCAGTGTAGCCCCAGCATCCACACTAGTGATTACGTGTGTGCCATAGTTGAGGACCAAGAGTTCTGCCAGGTAGGTGGCCATCTTCGTCTGGTTTTTCTCTAGTTGGTCACAGATGTCCATAAGTGCCTTCGTAAACCCCATGCTGAGCTCTGAAGTTGGGGTGCTTTTGACTGTGTAGATCCGGTTTCTTACCTGAACCCTGGTAGTTACAGCTTGGTCCTTTACTTGAAGTGTCTTCATCCTTTGGAACTCAGTAGAGAACTTGCCGTTGACTTTGGAGAAAAGGGAGAGTTCTGTGTTGATAGAAACTGAGGTGGTACTCTGGTAATTCATCCAGGACTCCAGGATTTCTGAGTTCATCTCCAGGTTGCTCTCCTTCTGAGGAATAGTATAGACTTCATCGGGGATGATGTACTGCCCATCTTCTGTAGTCTTACATTTGGTATATGTCAAGTCCATCACCCGTCCCATGTCTACATTTCTCAGATTATCCCAGCCTCCTCCTGGTAGGACCTCTAAGACAGGGAGTTTCAGGGCATCCTTGCATATTTGAAATCCAGTCTTACCCATCTCCCCAAGAGGCTTGTCTGCTTCAGCACATGCTATCATCATCATCCAGATGAGGACCAAGCCCATGAAGCTGTTCATGGTGTAGACGGTTCCAGCCATATACCAGCCAAAGCATTCGCCAACGAGACTAAGGCAAACAGAAGGATGGGAAAGAAATCAGTTGCTGAAACAGAAATTTCTACAGTTCTCCTAAAACCATCAGTTCCTCTTTATGCTGCTCCAATTGCAAAATAGAGAACTGAAAGCTGGTTGGGATATTAGAGACTACTAGTACATTGTAAAAATGATTCTACATTGGGACATACAAATATACACTCTTCACCAATTCCTCCACTATGTCCCTGACCCTGCCTTTCTTCTACCAAAGGGGTTTGGCACCCAGTAAAAGCATGGATTCAACACCTTACCTCTCCTCTGTCAGAAGGCTCTGTCTGGCTTTTGTTTCACTCTCTTTGACTGACTTCAAAATCTGCCTTTCTCTTCTCTTGTGAAATCACAATATTAGTTTCTTTTTCCTGGAAATGCAGGAGTTAGTAGCAGCCTTGAGCTTGTTTACATACCCCGCCTCCTAGGCAGGCTACTCTGTGTCGAGGACAAATCTCAGCTATCTCATTGGCACACTGAAGTTGGAGGCTGTCCTCTGAGAATGAAAGGGTAAAGAACCTCGGACATATGTTTTGTGAGGTCTCATTGTTACAAACTCACGCAGTCCTGGTTTGGAGATAGACTTATCTAGGTTTGAACCGCCCAGGAGAGCATTCCATTTGCTGGGAAACCTCAGCCTGAATTGTCCTGGGTGAGGGTGAGGGTCTCCACACTGCTCTGGTTTTTTCCTTTCAGATAGAAGTATTCAAGAGAAGACAAAAGCCACACTACAAATTTTGGGTTATTCAAAGCATACAATGGCCCGGGAGCATCCATGCATGTGTCCACACATTTGTCTGATCTTCTCCATGTGTGCACTTTTAAACTAAGCAGTGAAACTAACCACATGTTGAACTTCATCCAGTCAGCAAAGACACAGAGAAAAGGAAAGATGTTCCTTATTACTTAGGTTAAAAGTACTAAAATTCATTTTTTTCTGTTGTCAGGAAAACATAATGAGTGTTCTCGACACCCACCTCTTCTTTTTGTCAGTCAGTGATACTAGCTCCTCTAGATTTGTAACTCAGAAAGGTGTAGTCTGTGCTAGTGATCGAATGTCAGGATTAAGGGAGGCTTAGATGAATTACATAGTTGTAACACCTGGAGTGTCTTGGTTCATTTAGCGGCAGCCAGGGACTCTATAGCAGATAATAAATCTCCATATGGCACCTTCATAGCATATCATTTTATAAGCAAGATGCAGACCTAAACAGTCGCTCACTTTTTCTGTTCCTTCTTTTTAGTACAGTTTTCTACTCTAACATCACATAAAACAGAAGAATGACAAAATATTGTAAGCCAACCATTGAGTTATATCATGATGTGTAAAAACCTTCAGCATGAACACAGATATGATCAAGTATATAAAATTAGAGGCTCCAACACCAGCCCAATGACAATGTCTGGTCAATAGAATTTATCGAATATTTTTTTTACTCTTAAATTTCCAGAGATTCTTTGATTTTCTTGCTTTTTTTCCAACAATAAGAATGTCTTAACTATATGAGGTTTTCTTTAACTGAGCATTTATTAACTACTAAATAACAATGGATATCAGTTTGTATTCAGTAAGACAATTCAAGCAATACAGATATTTTAAAATTTTTGTTTTTGAGATAGAATACAATTAAAACATTTCTCTATTCTCATTCCATCCTACAAACCTTCCCATATACCTTTCCTCACTCTCCTTCAAATTCATGGCCTTTTTTTTTTTACTAATTGTTAATGCACACATATATGTATATGTACTTGTATGTGTATGTGCGTGTGTACATGTCTCTGTGTGCATGTACTTCAGTATATACATATGCATGTATTTGTACATGTCTGTGTATGTCTGTGTATGTGTATATGTGTATCTGGTTGAGTATCTATGTATGTATGTATATATGTGTGTAGATACATATATATTCTTAAATGTAATCTGCTCAGTCCTTATATTATGTATATTATCAGGACTGACCATTTGGTACTGGATAACCAAGTAATGAGCTCTTTTTTTAAAAAAAGGATGCTTTTAAATTACTTTTGGCATTTTCATGTACTTGGGGAAGTTGAACGCATGGCTTTTATGATTTCTTTGGTGAAGGCAGTTTAGCTGGTTGGAAACAATGAAAAGAGAAGTGAAACGGTGAGACTCTGAGGGCACAATCTCCATTTGCATGCCAGGGCGGTGCTCAGAACATCCGTTGTGCAGGATTTGACTAGCACCTCCCACCTCCACTTTTCCTGTTTTACTCCTTCCAGTAATTTTCTCTACTTTTTCTCATATAGAAATATTCCTATAAACACATGTTCTCTCTAGAAGGCTCACCTAAGGCAGTGAAGGGCTGGGGCTAAAGTCTAAACTCTGGCCTCTAGCAGAGAGGCCATTCTTCCACAGAAGGTGTGTGTCTCTGGTGCTGCAAAGCGATTTCGCTTCCTCCAGCAAGCAGCAAGAAGGAAGTCACACATCTGCTTTCTTTCTAAGTCTGAACGTGTTTGGCACTGTGTCACGAGGAGTTAAGCCATGATTCATGTCTAAGGTTCACTTCTGTGTGGGCTTGGAGCCCGTTAGGGTGTTTCCAACATGAATACCTCACAGGTGATCTGAGACGGTTATGTTAGCCAGCCACAGCCTACTTTGCCAGGGATCTAGCAGACCAGTCTTGACATCTGACATACAAAGCATTGTTGAATGGAACCGAGAACCTGACTGTTACAGGTCATATTTTGATGACAATGAAGGACCTGTGTGACACAGAACACAGTGGTAGGTTTTTGTTTGGTTGGGGTTTTTTTTGTTTGTTTTGTTTTGTTTTATTCCTGAGTAGTTGGCTTCTAACCTGATATTCTGAGAGTTGCTTTGTCAACTCTGAACAAATTCTTTCCACCAAGATTGTTTGTCTACTAATCCTAAAAAAAATAATAACTCAGTGGTTTTGTGCTTCCTTTTTGTTCTGAGGAGTAAAAACAAAAAGCACTTGGGAAATTCTGCACAGTCATATTAATGCTAGGCCAGAACGTGTTTGGTACCCAGCTATTTTATTCTGATATTTACCTGAAACTAGTTCTTAGACCTAGTTTAGTTCTGACTGACCTGGAATTCTGTAAGTAGACCAAGCTGACCTTGATCTCACAGAGTGTCCACCATATTAAAACAGAAGGAATCTTTGATGGTCTGTTGAAGCAAAAACACAACTATCACCTCAAGGAGAAAAAAAAGCATCATTTATTCTAGGTTCAAATATGGAAACAGATTCAGATCACTCCAACATGCAAGCAGTTTCATGAAGTTTTAATAGAGAAAGAACAAAGACATTCATAAATGGAGGGGTTTTTTTAATACATTGGTTGGAACCAATGGGAGTGGGCTTGAGCAAAACTGCCAAGTCTTCAGTATAAGTCTCAGGCACCATCTGATGATATTCTTAGCCTTTGGGTTGGGTTGGTAGAAGCCAGGGGTTTGCTTCTATGTTCCAAAAAAAGGATTTTACCTAAAAGCAAGAAGGATTAGGTTAGTCATGGAGGTAGGAAATAAATGACTGTTACAGAGACTAGAGATACCTCAAGATAACCTGGCTCTGGACAAGTAACATTGCACTGTTTACAATTAGCAAAGTTGTATCATCAGTCAACTACACAGAATCCTTAACACCACTGGTGCAGCCTTTGTTTTGGAACCTTCGATTCATTGTTTCTGGTTTTGGTTATAAATCACACATTTGCATGGGAAGACCAAGTACAAATCTGTGGCCCTTGGTGCTGGAAAGACTGACTCCTAGAAGCTGATAGAGATAAGATTGAGGAGGAAGGAAAGGAGACTTCTAGAGAGAGAGACAGAGTTGTTAAAGCCATTAAGGGAGAAACCTCTCTAGCCACCATGATCCAAATTTGATTTTGTGTATCATACACAATATTTATATGTTACATATAATAGACACATTATACCTAAAGATAAAAAAACTAAGGACACAGGATAGCCTAAAGATGTAAAGGCAGTAGAAGAAGGAAACAATAAAAAACCTTCAGTTTAAAAAAAGATTTATTCATTTATGTGCACTGTGTGTGTAGGTACCCTACTTGTCAAGAAGAGGGTAGGATCCCCTGCCTTACATGTGAAAGACCACCAAGTACTCTTTACCATGGAGCTAGCTCTCTGGACCCGCAAATATTCTTTTTAAACTAAATTGACTCTTTCTTTTGTGTCTAAAGCTATTTATACTCTGTACTGTTTTTATTTTTGCAATATTTTTCCTGATTTCTTTTCTTTCAATTTTAGTTTTCTGATGGCAAACTTGATTTTACAGCTACAATTGCAGAAGTGGCCTGTTTTAACTTTACAAAATATTGATCTTTAATATCTGAGTTGTTATACTGTTCCTTGTGGATTATAATTGGATCTATGTTATTATCTTGGTACTGTGCCAGATTTTAGTTTGGGAAAGGAAATAAAAGTAAGTTATATTATAGAAGAAATCAGTAACAGAAATCAGTAATATTGCTTTAAATATTCTTTTAACAAATTGTCATTCCATGTACTAAATATTATCAGTGACCAGGATAAAAATCTAGATGTCAGACATATCAGAAATGAGGATCCTACAGGATTTGGAGTGATAATCAAAACTCATTTCTAGTTTTATAATCAGAACAAAAGACACTTTGTAGTATTTCTCACTTACTTTTTATTGGCAAAATACTGTTCAACTTTGGGGATCTAAAGAGATGGCTCCGTGGTTAAGAGTATTAGCTGCATGCTGTTAATATGTATAATGTCTAGACTTTATTACCAGTCCAAAATTATACAGGGCTAGCCCTAGCATACGCAAAACCTAGGTTTTATCTCCCAAATTATTCTTTAGAAATCTTTTTTGATGAAGAGACTCACTCTAGCCCAGGCTGACCTGTACATACATTTTGCAGCCCAGGCTGAACGGAACTCACAGCAATCCTCAGACCTCAGCCTGCTGAGTACTAGATTATAGACATGAACATAATATGTTAAACTTCTTTTTTTTCTGTTTAATAAGCAGGTAGATGGTCATAGTAGAACACAACTTTAACACAGCTCTCAGAAGACAGAAGAAAGTAGATCTCTATGAATTCCAGAACATCCAGGACAAAAAGTGAGGTCCTGTCTCACAAAAAAAAAATTGAATTGAATTAAATTTAAAAGTGAGTTGGGCAGTGGTGGCACACATCTTGAATCCCAGCACTTGGGATCAGAGGCAGCAGATCTCTGAGTTCAATGCCAGTCTGGTCTATGCAGTGAGGAGTTCCAGGACAACCAAGGATTCACAGAGAAACCCTGTCTCGGGGGCAGGGGCAGGGAACAGAAACAACAGTAGTAGCTGCTTTTCCAGAGGACCCGGGTTCTAATCCCAGCACCCACATGACTACTCATAACTGGCTAGAAGTCCAGTTTCAGGGCATCTAATGCCTTTTTCTGATCCCATTGGCACTGCATGGCTGTGGTACACTTATCTACACATAGGCAAAAGCCTCATTTACATAAAATTTTGAAAAATAAAAATATTGTTTAATTTTTTAAAATTCCTACTAATTATGCCCTAGGGTCCCTTAACTATTCATCTATTCAAAAACTGTGTTGTTAGGGGAGTCTAAGAGACCCCAAATGATATAGATTATTGCCATTGCCTTCAGTTTTCTTCCAGAAAAATAAGGTAAGATACTATTGCTAAAGATTCCACATACATTGAACCCATAACTTGGAGGAATGGATATGGATATGAACTGAAAGCCTCAGCCCTAAAAAATAACTCTTACAGGATCAGAAAGAACTATGGAAGCTGCGAAGGAAGCAGTCAATGATCTGATGTAGCTATAACAGCTACAAGCTGCAATCCTCATCACTGCGAGAAACTCTGAAAGGTCCAATAGTAGCACTTACATCATGGAGGTACTCAACAGCCACCAAAATTGGACTGAAGGCTTACTCACTAGAAAAGAATTCTCATCAGACACCATAAGGCTAGCCAACTACCCACCTGGTGAAACCAGAGAACCTAAAGAGCAGTTTATTATCTTGGTATTATCACAGGTTTTAGTTTGGGAAAAGAAATGGAAACTTATGTTTTCTAATTTCTAACTGAATTCTAAATACTTATCCTTTACACCCAGAGATAAAGGAAGCTCTCATTCCTCATCAAAGACGCTTCATATTGCAGCAGATAGAGACAGAGTTACAGAAAACTAAAACTGGACAAAACACAGAAAACCACTGATCATGGGGTGCCCAGCCCTAGTAGATATATCTACAATACAATCCTTACACCTGAGGCTCAGGGGACATTGACCAAGAAAGGACAGAAGAATGTTGTAAGAGCCAGAGGGCCAGGACATCTGTTGTGAAATAGTGTCCTCCAAAAAGGAACCAAAAAGAGAACAGGAAGTGGAGGAGTATAGGGAGGAAGGTGTGGATCTGGAAAAGTTGGGGGAAGAGTGGGAGTTAAATACGATCAAAATACACTGTGTGAAATTTTCGAAGAGTTAATATAATTATTCTATCTTCTTAAAAGTAGAGAGTTGAGGTATAAAATATGAATATTGTGCCATTGGACACAGATTGCTTTTTGTATAATGTGGACAAGAAATGTTAACTCAAGTCCTAATATGCCCAACAGACTCAGTTTTTAAAGCTGAAGCTATTTTAAGCAGTTGATATCTGAATATGCCATAGGGCTTTCAGAGCTTTCGATTTGTCTTATTTTAATGTTTTGATTATCAATAAGAACTTATAATCTAGTTGGATCCAGATAATAGTTTTTACTTTTTAAAGGTAAGAGCTTGATTTAAGAGTTTTGAGTCAAAATAGAAGTATTCCCCTCTTATTGTAAATCTTCCAAAAATAATTATCAATGAGAAAAAAAAACTAAAAATTTAATTCCAAATATCCTGACTAATGAGAGACGCTATTTTACCAAGGTAATGAAAATACTTGAGTCTTTGAGTCTTTTCAAACATGATGATTTGTTCAAGTAAGGTAGGAGGTCCAGGTAAACAATAGGGTCTAACATGAGCATGATTACTGTAAAAACACAGCACCCTTATCTGTAGCTTTACTAAAATCGACATTAATAAATATTAAGTCTATCACTTAGGATTATACCAAGCAAATTCAAAACATCTTATATAATTCAAAAAAATCTAAATATGAAAAAGTTTAAGAAATATAAAACATGAGGATTAGTAAAAATATCATCAGAGGCCCCTTTAGTACAGAGACTTGGAGCTCAGTCGCCAGTGTGATTGAAGAGAGCTGTCATTTGGCTTCTTCGAAACCCCTGTGGATGAGATCTCACAAGTAGGCATAAGTTTGAGGTAAGAAATAAGAATCTAAGGATTTATCTCTTAAAGTTTTAATGCCCAAAAGTTAGTTAGATGTACCTGATACATTCGTCCAGGCTAAAGGGGGTCTTAATCTTGTTTATGTTTGTTTGTTTTTAATTGATTAACTCTCTTGATGTTAGTTCATTTTCCAAATTCTTCATCTTTTAGGAGTTATGAGTGAATTAAATATTTAGGGATCAGCTTGACATCCCCTATGAATGTCTCCTTTTAATAGAAGTGACTCGTGATTCTTTAGACAACAGAATATATAAGCTACATGGTACTTATTTATGGGGAGACATGGATATCTTTCAAAGGGGAGTAAATCTTAGCTTAATCAGAACTAACATGAGTGTCTTCAGCTAAGGAAGCTATGAGCTTTTGTTATTTTATGCATTTAGTGACTTTTGTTTATTTATCCACCAATACAGAAGATTTAAGGTACTAAACATAGTGAAAATATGTACAATAGTCCAAATTTTACAGATTTATACACTTACTCACAAAAACTTTTATGATTATTATGTCAGGAAACACCCCAAGTAGGAATATTTTGTAGTAAAATGTTTTCTACTGTTAAGAACACATACAGGGCCGGGCAGTGGTGGCGCACACCTTTAGTCCCAGCACTTGGGAGGCAGAGACAGGCGGATTTCTGAGTTTGAGGCCAGCCTGGTCTACAGAGTGAGTTCCAGGACAGCCAGGGCTATACAGAGAAACCCTGTCTCGAAAAACAAACAAACAAACATTCAAACAAACAAACAAAAAGGCTCATGTTCTGAGTATGCCATGCTGACCCATAAGCCCCTGCACACACACACACACACACACACACACACACACACACACACACACACACAAAAGCAATTGGCCGGGCGGTGGTGGTGCACGCCTTTAATCCCAGCACTTGGGAGGCAGAGGCAGGTGGATTTCTGAGTTTGAGGCCAGCCTGGTCTACAGAGTGAGTTCCAGGACAGCCAGGGCTACACAGAGAAACCCTATCTCGAAAAACAAAAAACAAAAAACAAAACAAAACAAAAAAACCCAACCACATACAGGTCGTGACTATCCAGCTTTACTCAATAGGAAAACATAGAAAGATAGATTTGGATAAAATCTAATCATGTTTTAAATGGCTCATTGAGTAAAGGGATAAAAAGTAATAGCCATGAATATGGAGAGGTGGCTAAGTGGTTAAGAGCAACAAGTGCTCTTGTTCAAACTGAATCAAAATGAATTTGCTTCCCAGCACCCACATGGAGGCTCAGTACTGTCTGTAACTCCAATACCAGCAGATCTGACACCCCCTTTCTAGACTCTGTGGGTGCCAGGCATGCATGTGGTGCACACTTAAAATATGAAATCATTAAATCCAAAAAAATTTAAAGAAATTATTCATTTAATAAAACCTTTATTTTCTAAGCTAGTTTTTCTCTAAATACTATGAAAAGAAAGAAATCAATATTTAAGAAAACATTAGTGTTTTAAATAGAGAATCAGGCACCAGTTCTACAGAATATAGAACATCAACCTCAGGAATTTTTAATAGCCTTTGATTACAACAACTGAAAAACATATACATTGTATCTTAAATAGCTAATAGCTGTAAATACAGGCGCAGCAGTGAGCATTTCCTGTGCTCTTGCAACAAATTTAAATGAGCTATTTCTTAAATATTTAAATCTTATTAAAACAGATATGAGAAATTGCTTTTGTTTAAAAAACAAGGGGGAAGATGCTGCAAAGGCCATGACGTCCTTGGCCTGAAGCTATGTTGATGTCTGTGAGGTGTGCCTTTGCCAGGGGCTGTAGTGATGTGAGCAGCCTGCATTTGCCACCTGAGGTCATGGTGATGTCTGGAACTGTGCTGTCACTGAGGGCCATGTCTGGTCTGTGGTTCTACTTCTACAACTGTGTTTGTGGTCTGTGCTGTCACAAGGAAGCCAGAGACTATGAAGGAGGCTAGCATCATCCTTCTGCTGACTGTACAGAAGCTACTTTTGCTGTGATATCGATGACTGCAGACACACACAGCTGAGAAACAGGGACACGGAAGGCTTCTATGACAATCCCTACCCCGACCCCAACATTCTCTCCTTAAAAAGTGTAGCACCCTAAACAGAAAGCTGTCGAAGATAACTCTTAAAAAGTGTGTTAAGGATGCTGAAGTTATGTCTTCACAACTGATGGTTTCTGGCCTGGGTGCAGGAGGGGAAGGACACGTTCTGTTTAAGGAGCTGGTGACTGGGAGTTTGACCGTGCTCCAGTGAGAAGATAGAAAGGCGAATTGGACTTAGTTTTTCTGTTTTAATTCTTTTTTTTTCTTGGTCTGTCACAAGGGGAGGGTAGGCCGTGAAAGGACTGAGAAATGAGTGTGATGGGGTGCACTCTGTGAGACGCAAAGAATCAATAAAATATTGTGATGAATGAAATACGGAAAGGTGGGGATCTTTTCATTTGAACTGGGCATCTCTGTCTCTACCCAGCTTCTTCTCTTCCACTTTTAGCTGGCCGCCTCCTTTGTAGTAAGTGAATAAACCATTTAACTCAAATCATTTTCCTTTTCCTTCCTTAAAACTGAAGACATAGAGATTAGTTATTGTCTCAAATACATTATAAATTGTACTTATGATATATTGAAACATGTTAGGATGAATAGTAAACCTTTTGATACGTTTGTAAGATTTTATGTAGGCTACGTGTTGTTTTAAATGACCATTTTTTTCTTTAGTTCCCAAATTTTAGAGTTATATCTTAACTAGGTTTGCCTAAAAGTCTTGAAAAAAACTGTTTTTTTTTTGTAAAAAAGAGGCAGATTAAAAAAAAAACAGCTATGTTTAGGGATTTTAGGTGAAGAGACTTTTGTCCCACTTCAAAACAATTATATTGCCATGAACATATATAAAACAGCCAGAATATACTTCTTGGCAAAATAAGATAATAGTTCACATCTCTACATCATCCAGAAAAAAAGGCCTTCCAAAAGGAAAAACAATCAAAGGGGAAATGTGTTATATAACGTCAGATTTCTATCTTTCTCTGTTTATGAACAAACCAAAAGACACCTCCACAGATGGAAATTGTTAATATAGCATGGAATTGTCCTCCTCTAGGTTTAATCCTAGAGACTGTACTAAACTTTTCCTTTGATCCAGAATCTGCTCTGTTGGAGATAAAGAAGAGGCAATGTTCAAGGATACACGAGAGTAGGAATTAACAGTCAGACATCTCAGAATTTACCTTTGGCTCAGAACCTCTAAATGTTTCTTAATTTCCTACCTGGTTTTAACATCTCATCACCTTTGAGCTTGTAGCTTCTGAGGCATATACATATATGTATACATATACATATACTTATACATACACATGAACATATACATGTGTGTAATATATGTAATATAAATTTTAAATGTTATATATATATATATATATATATATAATACATATTACACATTTTACCATTTCTTTACATGTATTCTAATTGAAGTAAGCTGTCCATCTTTAATTCTACTGTCCACCAAGAATTTCTCATTTAGTGCAAAACAAACAAAACCCACAACATCATAGGATAAACATTTTCTCATAGTGGTAACCATAAAGCCCAATTATTTTTTTTGTATATTTTCCATCTCCAAATACTTATGAGCTGAATGACTGCAGTTATCAACCACAAAGGCAGGTTCTGTTCAGTAGCTCCTCTTTGAATCTCAGTTTCCCATTTTCTCTTGAAAACTACGAGCTTCCCTAAGCTAGCCAGGGGATCTGAGTCTTGGTTTAGGCTTATGTGCTGTCTAGGGCAGAAGGGCAGTATTAAGCAGAGTGAGTGGTAGAAAACTGCTAGTTATTGCAATGATAGCAAGAGAAAAGTACAAAAGCCACCAAGCTAACAAAGAAATGTTCTAAAAACAAGATGGATACCCTAAAACAGAATGCTCTGAAATAAGCAAAGAAAACACACCAGAATCCTAAGAAAAATTATTGACCAAAAAAGGGGAGGCCCAAAGCCCCACAAAGAACTTACCAAAATGTACCAGAAGAGACAACGACAGTTGGCACAAAAGCCCCGTGATGATACCTGGTGCAAAACAGACTCTTACATGAAAGAAAACACAAGAGTGTATTCTGAAGCCAAATAAAAGTTACCATGTTCTGGGAAAACAGATTCAGGTTACTTTAAATACCTGCATTCCATTGTGATCGTGATTTCATGAACGCTTTACAATGGTGAACAAAGAAAAAAATAAGGCTCTTTTTCAGATGCATTGGTAGGAACATTAGATAGGGAGATAGGCAGGCTACAGCAGAGCAGGAAAGTCCTTGCTATAAGCGTCAGATGCTATCTAGCAACAAAATACTTTCAATCTGAGTTGGTGGAAAGGAGTCATCTGTGTGTACATTCCAAAAATGTTTTAACTGATACCACAGGATGTTAGGTCAAACACAGGGGTGTATGAAAAATAGCTGCTATGGAGGCTAAAGATAACTGAAGGTAATTTGGATCTAAAAAATGTCTCATTTCATCTGTCCATAGTCACAGAAATTGTACCCAATTATCATCTTTAACACAGGTACTGTTTGTTTGTTTGTTTGTTTGATTGTTTGCTTATTTGTTTCTGGGAATTTAGGTTCACAAATTGAATAGTGGAGAATAGACACTCCACTATTCCAATAGCAGATATTGCTAACCAGACCTTTGATTTCCTCTGAATTCTGAAGCTGCCTCAGCACATCCTCAATACATATTTCTAGGCTATTCTAATGGAAACCTGTTTCATTATCTATTAGGTAAACAGGGACTGAATATCTCTTGTTGGTCAGGCATTCATTGTAGGTGCCTATTATGCAGTCACTAATGTCAGATTATGTTATTGTAAAGGTCCAAAGGATAATGTGAACTCTTAGGGTCATCCCTTCTTTTATTTTTTTCAGGTGTGTGTGTGTGTGTGTGTGTGTGTGTGTGTGTGTGTGTGTGTGTAGAGTACTGGAGTTGACTTCAAGCTCCTTCCTTGATTGCTCTCTTCTTAATTAGTATTTTGAGGCACAGTTTCTTTTGAGCCTAGAGTCCACTGCTTTTACCACAGCAGTTAGCCAGCTTGCTTCGATGAGTCCTGGCTCTGCCTTCTGTATGCTAGGGTTACAGATGAACCACCACTTCCTCTCAGAATGTATTCAGGTTCTGAGGATTCGAACTCCAGTCCTCTCATGCAAGCCCTTTACTTACCGTTCCTTCTTCCTTAGCTCCCTTTCCTCTTTTTCCCCTCCAAACTCAACTCCACAAAGATTGAGCACAGCTAACTCCTTTTTCTTCCCTTCCAGCTTCTGACTGTTTTTCTGACAGCCTGCTGGGAAAAGCCTCTTGTGTATCTTTCTTCAGCTGAAAACAAGACCTTGACATGGAAAGCTCAGCACAGAATTTTATTCTGTCTTTAATTTTTACTCCTCATAGCTTTCAGGTCTTGTGACTTCTTACTTGAGAAATATTTGGGCAAAAGAAGTGGTTGAGAAACTTTGGGTTTCTGTGAGTTAACTATTGTCAAAGTTCACCTTTCCATATTTGTTTTATTATCATGCAGTTCAGAATAACAGTCAATGTTTCCCAAAAATGAAATTTTTTTACTATTTACTATAATCACTAGGATTTGAAATGTATAAAATCACTTTTGTTAAATATATCAAAATATTCTGAATCATAACAAATCTGTTTTATTGTTTCCTTTATTGCTATAGGATTGTAATTCATTGCATTTTGCTGGGTACAGTTTTTTCTGTTTAATTCTAAACATTTTTCATTACAATTATTTATTTGTTGCACACTGAGCTCTAAATGGGACATCTCTATCAGCATTGCCAATACTCCTCCAGGCTCAAGAAAGACTGTGAAAGTGTGGACAGGAAGAATGTAAGAGTCAGAGGCGAGAGAAGAGGACCGTGAAATGCAGTCATCCAGATGTGACACAACCTTCACAAATATGAACACACAGTGGTGCAGATACTTGCCTAAGAGTGGGTCCTCCAACGTTCCATAATGAGTAGAGATGTCATGAGACCCAGCCCCTCCCCAAAGGGCTATTGTCGCCTACTAACAGTTCCTGTGGGAAGAGGTAGCATTTTCTTCAATGTTTCTTTCTCTTATCATCATCTTCCAACGGACTTTGATGAAACAAAGTCAAAGCTACCACCAAAATACTAATGGATAGATCAAAATAGGAAGAAGACCATTAACTAAGGTAGTTATTCCATCTCAGCATATATCTAGTTGGGATCTTTGGTTCCTCTGTTGAAATATAGGGTATGTGTGAGTGTGTGTTTGTGTGTGTGTGTGTGTGTGTGTGTGTGTGTGTGTGTGTGTGTAAAAGTTAGAAATTAGGTTAACAATGTGTGCTAGGCTGTGGGTTTATTCAGTTCCTAGATTCTGTTCTGTTTTACATAGTCACTTGAGTTTCTGAGTTGCTATTTTGACAAATAAGGATGTAAAAAGGATTTTAGAACTGAACTAACATTAGTATCTAAGGGCTATCGTTAACAACGGAGAGTTCTGGATTTTCCCTAAACTTTCACCTCCATAGCAGTGAAGCAAACAATAGCACCTACCTGAAAGTAATAGGTGAAGCTGCTTTGAGGACTGGCTCCAGGTGCCAATGGAGCGGTCACACGGTGTAGGCAGGAGCTTGATGGTTATCAGCTTTTGCTTTCTGAGTTTGCTAAGAAGTCTGAAAATTGTTTTGGTAACTCACTCCTTTCAGGTTTGGAAAAGTGTGTGTTAGAAGACCTGACGAGCATGCCTTTCCCCTGGCAATTTAGTATCTGCAGCCATATCAACTCAGAAGGATGTCTGAATATTCTATTAATATCCTGGACACAGGGAAACAGTTGTAGCGACATTTGAGTTAATACACGGGCCAAGTAGAAGTGACTGATTGCTTGATTTATTAAAGAATTCGTTCTAGACTTCCTTTAGAATGGAGCAGACAAAGTTTTCCTGTAAAGGAGCAACCAGTTGTAAGGATTTTAGGCTTTGCCAGTGAATTGTCTCTTCTGTTTTGTCTTTTTGTGCAAAGATAGTTGAAGAGTAATGCAGTCATGACTGTGTTCTATTAAGTTATTACTTATAAAAATGGGCTAGAATGGACTTGTCCTGGGATCTGTTGCTTATTGATTCGTTATTAAGGATAACAGGATTATAAAATGTCACAATTTGAACATGAAAAGAATGCTCACCTTCACTCACTTATTATGAAATAAAATGAGCAGAGGTCTCATTGTCCCCCAGCTAGAAGATTATCATTAAAAGACAAACACGTGTGGACAAGGACGCAGCGAAATGGAGACTCCTAAGCACTATTGATGAGAATGTAAGTTAGTACAGGCATATGAAAAGTGGTATGGACACTTCTCAAGTATCTCAAAGTAAAACTTCGGTATCTTCTAGAATGCCAGGTATATACCCAAAGGAAATGAAATCATTATACCAAAAGAATCCTTGCACCCCCATGTTGGCTGCAGCACTTCCCACAACAGCCAAAATATGGAACAAACCATGATACCTTTCACCCAATGAATGAAGAAAATTGAATACTACTCAGAATGAAATCATGTCCTCTGCAGTAATTTGGATAAAGTTAAAGAACATTAGAGAAAATGAATCTAGATGGACATCAACAGATGTAGAGAGTAAGTTCTCAATCATTTATAAAAACCAGCAAGCTTGATAATGCACAGAATGGAACAGTAGACACTAGGGGTGAGAGTAAGCAGGGCAGGAAGAGAATAAGAGGGGCTTTTATTTTATTTGAAGATTTTTCTCTTTGACAATAGCATACTTGTATATAACACATTCTGGTCATACCCATCCCTCCACCTTCTCTTATCTTCCACTAGTCCTTCCCTCTGTCAAGTCCCCATCCCATTTTCATGTCTTTTTTTTATTTTGCTTTTTGTTTTTGCTTTGAGAACCACCAAGCTTAACCAGAGCTACTTGTGTGGGCTTGGGTTTGAGGATGTCCACCGCAGCATGGAAGTCACCAGTGGCTACTTCACTAAAGACAACTACTTCCTCTCTCCCAGCAATCTTTAGCTGACCTCTGCTCCCTTGTGTGAGTCCCAGTGGGGTCCCGTGAGCTCTTTCCCCATCTTTGGCTAAATATTTACTGTCTCTGTTTTGTGCAGTCCTCGTGCTAGCAACTGTCATGAATGCCTGCTTTGGTCATGTCGAGGCCATAAAGCAATGTTTCAAGACCCTCCTTTCTATTGTTCAGCTCTTCCATGCTTGTCTCCACAAGAAGGAATTTTAGAAGTTGGAGGAGGTGTAGGGAGAGGGAAGGCAGAAGAAGAGTGGGAGGGGATGCTCGCTATATGCATGGATAAGAATATTACCATAGGCTGGGGAGATAACTGTCAGGAAAGTGCTTGCCGTATAAATACACAGACCTGAGTTTGTCTACCCAGCACCTAGGCAGGGCAGCACAGAGACACAGGTCTTTAATCTCAGTGCTGGATGGGGAGCAGAGACAGGGGATGCCTGGAGCTCACTGGCCAGCCAGCCTATCCAAACGGTTAGCTTCAGGTTCAGTGAGAGACTTTGACTCAAAACCAAACAAACAAACAAATAAAGTAGAAAACAATAGAAGAAGCCCAATTTCCTTTTCTGGCCTGGCCTCCTCATGTGTGTACACAGGCGTGCACATTCATATATACTTGAATTTCACCTCTCCCCCTAACACACACACACACACACACACACACACACATACACACACACACAGTAACATAGAGCTAGCTGGGAACATGGAGAGACTGCATTCAATTCTTCTTCATTCTACCACTAAGCTGCTGTTGGCTAGAAGGAAGTCAGTTCTGTCTTTGAGTCTCTGTTTGCCTATCTGCAGAATCTGCTAAAGTCCTTTCTAGTGTGTCTGATATATGGCCCAATTATAGCAATCTTATTGACTCTAGACTGTGGCTGAGGCGTTTCACTCGGTCAGTTTAAGGATATTCTTAGTTTATGCCATACACATCCCCTTTAGTGCATCTGCTAACACTTCCTCTTAGTGAATGTTTCCTTTGTGCACTGTGTGATTTATGAAACGAAAGTTTATTTCCATTAAAACGGTTTGTGGTAAGGTGGTTTGCTCAGCTTGTGGTAGCATCTGTCCCTAGTCTCTGAGTTTTTAGCTTTGTCTCTTGCTGAGAAGCTTGAGAGACACTTGTATGGTGTTTATGCTAATTTCTTGGTGTGGGTTAATGGGAACTAGAGTCACATCTGTGTTGATTCAGGTCTTTTAAACTGTCAAGACAGTTCATAACCCCTGGAACACTGAACACAAGACCAGTGGCCTGTGTCCTTCTCACATCCCTAAAGGCCCCAGGAATCCCCTTGGTGTGAGGGGGAAATCTCTTGCCCTTTCTCTTGTGCTAACCCATAAAAGACTAGTCACTGATTTTAAGGAAGTCGAACTCTGGGCACTAGTAACTTTGTTTCCCAAGAGAAGCCCCAATGTGCTCCCCTAGGCCAAGCAGTGGTTGGTCCCCAGACTTCCACAGTCTCAGCACCAGCAGCCATATTCTCCCTCCACGAGACTCCAGGGATGACAAATCTGTACCTCTGTGTTTCCATTCCCCTCTCTTTTTTTGAAGATTCAGTCCTCTCTGTGATTTTACAGTTGGTCAAACGTACATGGCCAGCTCTTTCATTATGTTGTATAACAATATTTTAGGAAAAGCGAGAATAAATTTCTACTCATCCCAAATATAGAACTGGTGACCAAGCAAGTATGGATACCACCAAAATCCATCTTGGCAAGCCAATGAATTTTTGTTTGGTTGGTTAGTTTTACTTTCTTACAGTAATATGGGTGAGGAGTTACTTAAAGAATCAGAAATGACACAAAGACTGCTGTGTCTCCAGTGGCCTATCCTAGCATAAGTGACAACTTACAGAAGTTGGACACCTGGAGCTCAGGTGACAGGAACCTCTTCCAGGATCACTGCCTCTTCCAGTCAGCTTAGCTGGTCTGAGCCTCTTCTAGGTTGCTCAGCTTGCCTGAGAATGCCTCTCAGCAGTTCTTACTGCTTGTATATGCTTGCTAATAGTGGGGCCTAGTGTACCTAGCTGCTTTAGTTAAGATTTTGTTGCTGTGAAGAGATGCTATGACCAACTTGTACAAAGGAAAACATTTTATTGGGGCTGGCTTACAAAGGCTAAAACCATTGTCATCATGGTGGGAAACATGGTGGCATGCAAGTACATATAGTGCTGAGGAAATTGAGAGTTCTACATCCATATCAAAGACAGAAAAAAGAGAGACACTGGGCCAATCTGAGCATTTGAAACCTCAAAGCCCACCCTCATTGACACACTTCCTCCAACAAGATTGCATCTACTCCAACAAGACCACACCTCCTAATAGAGCCTATGGGGGAGGGGGTCACTTTCATTCAAACCAGCACATTGATCAATTTCAGGGACTTCCTGAAGCCTTTGAGTTGATTATTTCCTAAGCTTAGGGAGTGTCCTGGTTAGTTTTTTTTAATCAATTTGACACATGCAAAAATCATTTGGTAAGAGGGAACATAACTTAAGAAAATGCTCCCAACAGATTGGCTTGTGGACAAGCCTGAAGAGCATTTTCTTGATCAATGATTAATGTGAGAAGGTTCACATTAATGTGGTACAGCCCCTGGTCTTTTAGTCCTAGGTTATATAAGAAAGCAGGCTGAGCAAGCCATAGGCACTATACCACTAAGTAGTGTTCTTCCAAGACCTCTGCTTCACTTCCTACCTCCAGATTCCTATCTCTTGAGTTTCTGCTCTAACTTTCTGCAGCCATGGAGAATGATCTACAGGATGGAATGTTTAATTTCCCCTTAGAGCATTCTGTGTCTTAAGAAGTGTCCCTCAAAGATAGAATGTTTTTATCTTGGAGGAGATTGATATACAACAGCATGAAAGCATGGAGAACAGATCCAGCTAGCATAAGAAACAATTACTACTCCCCTGTGCTTAGCTGTTGCTAACAGCACCTAAATGAGGGGTTCTGGGAGAAATGTCTAGATGCCAGGGCTCTGTTTGTGGCTGCTGTGATTTGAAGTTGTTGGTGTTGTTCTGTGGGAGGAAATCTCCCCCTGATGACCATGAGGTGTATGTGCAGAACAATAAAGTACAATTTTATTGACCGAGTAGTTATTACTGCTAAGGTCTTTATTTAGAAATGCTTTGGCACCTGTCTCAGAAGCATATGGGTTATTTCCCCTATCTGTGGGCAACCTCAATCCAACTAGCTAAATAAAGAGAAACACACTTTTTTTTATTTTCTAAAACTTCCACATCTGTTCTATCCACATATTTGACCTAGTTTGACCCCTACGTTCCTCCTAAAGAGACAGACCACATAGCAAGTGTGTACTTGTGAGAGAATAGTTATCTTGAAAACCATGAATATTAACTTCTTTCTTCTTAATATTTAGTTATTTTGATTTTATGTTTATGAGTGGCTTGCCTACCTTAGATACCCTGGAACTGGAGTTACAGAGGGTTGTAAGCTATTGTATGGGTGTTACAAATACAACCCCAGAAGGGAGCAAGTGCTTTCAACTGCTGAGCCATCTCTCAGCCTAAAGGTTAACTTCTTGAAAGTGGCTTTGCTTCTGACTACAATGTTGTATCTGCTTAACTCATTTGCAAGCAAGTTTTTTCCCCTTCAGGTATGTGTTTAATATTAATCACTTTAACATAAGTGAGGATGCAAGAATAAGAAAGACATGAAAAGGTCACATTATTACCAAACTGTGTCTTAATCTCTGATATCCTACAGAATGTGGCTTTCTTATCAGCCAGGCCTCATCTAGTCTCAGACACCAACCTTAGGAATTCAGAATCCAGCAAAGCCCAAGAGTCCCACTCACGGATCTGGATCTGACTTCTGTGAGGTGGCCTGAGTGTGACCCAGAAGCCCTCAAATTCTGACTTCATGCAGATGACCACTCAGACAAACTGTTACAGGATACACATCTTAAGAAATATATTTATGCATTTTTAGGAATATAAGTTAGTGAAATACTTTTGTCTCAATGGGCGTTTGTTCATTAAAGGTCTAGGAGCCCCCTGCTGTGCTGTGTTTGGCAGACAAAATAATCCTTAAAGAATTTACAGAGGAAAATCAGTACTTTAGAGGAAGTCATTAGCTTGGCTGAGCATACTAAATTCACCCAGGAACCACAGACCACAGAGGAAAATGTCTTAATACTGAACATTTTAATACCAAAAAAGGCAGGTTTTGTGAAGAGCATATACAATCCACCCCTTGGGTGGATAGTCAGTAGGGCAGAGTTCAAACTCAGCTATTCACTCCTCGCCATATCTCAGCTGGAATCGAATGAGTTATTTCCCCCCTAATCCCAGAGGCTGAGACACATAGAGCTCTTCAGAACGGCCTACTGTGTGCACAAGCCCTTGATTGTTAACATAAACGAGAGAACACATCATCTTTCATAGAAGAGAGCTCACTGATGATGTGCTGTGGTGAATAGATACATAATTTCTAAAGCAGATGTAGAGGAATTTTCATGCTGTAGAGAATTAAAATTCTCAGATATGAAAACTGAGCAAAACCCCAGCTACTACCAGGTGTCAGTCATGCAGCCTGCTGGATGCCCCCACAGAAGCCATCCCAGATCGGAAATACATGTCACAGGCCTGTTTTAGCTAACTTAATGATGCCACTTTTTATCACATCAGCCCTGTTTCTAGCAGTGAAAACAAGCAAAACCTAAATGGACAGGTCATGACGTTTTCTGTTTGGCATTAGTTTTAGAGAGAAAGTAATACTTAAATGTGGGCTTCTATTGACTTTGACATCTTTCACTTCTAGGAAAATAAATACTTCTTACTGTAATAAGGGTGTATCTATTGGTGTGGCTTTGTATCTGTACTCACACTTCTGATGGGAAGACATTAAGGATGAGTGCTAGTCACAGAAAGAGAAAGGGTTATACTTTTGGTAACATGGAAAACTAAACCATAATAATTGATCCATCTAAACAACAGCCCCTTTCCCTGTCCAATCTATGATGAGCTCAAAGGTTGGCTAGAAAAAACCAGCAAACACTTTTCAGTTTTTACATTTCTTGATTTATTTCCAGTTCCCTACCACCCTTTTGCCTTTGACATTACATGAGAAGTTCGTAAGTTAAAATCATTTCTGAAGACTTGTTAATACTACTCAACGATCTAAAAGTGGTTTGGGCAGGGTAAATCCTAACTGTGAGGCAGACATAGAAAGTGGACTTGCTCTGCACTCTGCACCCTTCGGGCACACAGGGAGATGACGCAGTCATCAGTACAGAGTTTTGGAGTCTCCACAGCACTGGCTGAACAGGACCATCTATCTGTACGTTTTCAGAGTTTGGATTGTCTCTAGGAGGCTAGAACCCAAAACAAGATACAGGGAAGGCAAAGTGTTCCTGCTCACAAATTAGAAAACCTCTGCCACTTCTGAGTAAGTGCAGCTTCATCCCAAAGTTCTTGTTGCTCTCCATCCCAGTTGTTCTTACATGCAGAGATTCAGATGAAGACACCAGCCGCTTGTTTGGAAATGAGCAGTCCTACTATGGCTGAGAACCTGGGCTTGGTTTTGCTGCCTGGGTTGCAAGTCTCCCTTTTGCTGCCTTCTTCATACAGATCCTTTAATTTCCAATGCGTGGACATAAACATAACCACAGAGTTATAAAAACAAAAACAAAATCTTTCTGTTGCGACTTCTGCTTTACTTCTTAGGAAGGCAGAGGTAGAGGAGAAAGGACTGAAAGAGGAGTTTGAACCTGTGCCTGACATGAGAGGAACTGTTTCTTTAAGGAAGAATTATGCTGGATTTGGATCCTGCAGTCCATCAGGAGTGGCTCTAGCTCTTGGAAAAGGAAGAAACGTCTGTCTTCTAGGAACTCCGTCGGATTCATTCTTCTTAAACCTCCGGTTACCATAGATGGCCATGGCAGTTAAAATCCCTAACGCTAGGATAACCACAATGGTGATTCCAGCAGTTGATCCTCCTGATAATCTACCACTTTTCAATGGCTCCTCTAGCCTCCATTGCAGGGTATAGGGGTCCTTAACCCAGGATTTGGCACTCTCACTACTTGTCACCTCAACTGGGTCTGTGGAAAACTGACTCATAGGTAGCTGAGTGTAAGGTGGGAGCCTAGCAGGGGCCAGAGATGTCTTTGTAAAGATTCCAGCCTTGACACAGTAGGACACTTGGCATCCATCAATGATCACAGCTAGCTGTTGGCTGAAGCCCCCAGGACACTTTGGCAGAAATGAGTTTTCTAAGTCTCCAGATGTGGAAGAATTATACAACGGGTTCCCTTTTGAGCAGCTAAAAAACCCACCAAAAGGGACCGAAGATTTGGGCCCCAACTCATGATCCAGAGAAACACATACCTTGAGATTCTCAAACAGCTTCAGAGGAAAGTAACTGGTTGGGCATGACTGTGCATTTGTCATAGGGTTGCTGCTCTTGTCGGTGAAGACTCCTCCAAAGAGAATTCCTGAGTTGTCCGCTACTTGGCTACTGGCCACACACCAATAAGCACTAACTTCAGCCTTGGCCACTCGGAACACATCTTTACACTCTGTATGACAGAATATCTTGAGGGTACATTTATTTCTACACTCCTTTTCGGTATACCCCTTCTCATGGGTCTGAGTCAGCAGATGGACAGGGGTGTAGCCAGAGGGACAAGAGAATCCACCAGTAAGTGGATTCCTCTGATAGAAATCTAGGCACATATCAACCTTACTTTGTCCTGATGATTGAGCACACAACTGATAAACTCCTCCAAAGGGAGAGTTGACTACTTTACCATCACAAGAGCCATCATCTGTATTGGCTTCAAAATTGAAGTTTGGGGAGTTGATATTTGTGCAGCCTGGGAAAGTGTTAAAATTGTAATAGCTTTTTGCAGCAGTTTCTACTGTCTTTGCCAGCTGCTCCACCAAGTGGTGTGGAAAACCAGGAAGCTTTTCAGGCTTGATGAAGAAATGCAGAGGCAAGCCAGCACGATCCACTGCTACCAGGTGGTTGACGATGCCTTGTTGCCAGGTTTCAATGGTCATCCCTGGATAGAAGGGAATTCCTCCAATGCTCTGCACCCTTGAATTGGTTCTGTTTGCAAGATAGCCTGTGGCCAAGGTATTTTGATAGTCAAAGCCTGCCTCTATTTTGAAGTTCACAACCTTTGCAAAGGTAAATCCAGCAGATGCAGCTACAGCAGCATGGTTCCTCTTATTGTCCTTGAGGTAGGAGGACCTTATGTGATCCTCCTGAACCAGTGCAGCCCCAGCATCCACACTAGTGATTACGTGTGTGCCATAGTTGAGGACCAAGAGTTCTGCCAGGTAAGTGGCCATCTTCGTCTGATTTTTCTCCAGACGGTCACAGATTTCCATGAGCTCCTTCTTAAACCCCAAGCTAAGTTCTGCATTTGGGTTGGTTTTCACTGTGTAGACCAAATTTCTCACCTGTGCTCGTGTAGTTACAGCATGGTCTCTCACTTGAATGGTCTTTATCCTTTGGAACTCGGTAGAGAACTTGCCATTGACTTTGGGAACATAATCAAGATTCATGTTGATGGAAAATGAGGTGGTGCTTCGGTAGTTCTGCCAGGATTCCAGGATTTCTGAGTTCATCTCCAGGTTGCTCTCTTTCTGAGGAATAGTAAAGACTTCATCAGGGATGATGTACTGTCCATCTTCTGTGGTTTTACATTTGGTGTATTTCAAGTCCACCACTTGTCCCATGTCTACATTTCTCAGGTTATCCCAGCCTCCTCCAGGTAGCACTTCCAAAACAGGTAGATGCAGGGCATTCTGGCACTTTTGAAAACCATCGTCATGGATCTCTTCAAGTGCCTTCTCTACTTCGGCATATGCCACTGTAGTCCAGATGAGGACTGTAACAATGAAGCTGTTCATGGTGCAGGTAGTTCCAGCCACACACCAGTCCTTAACATCCACCAGAGAGCCTGGGGCAAACAGAAAGATGGGAAAGAAAGCAGTTTCTTAAACAGAAAATTCAATAATTCTCTATAACCATAAACTGCTCTTCAGGCTATGCTAACTGCAAAACAGGCAAATGAGAGTCTGTTGGAGTATTTAAGACCGATAGGACATGCAATAAATTATAGTGTACCATACTCCTGAACTCATGCTCTCCACGAGTCACTCCCCGCTTTCTTCACCCCAGCTGTTTACTCTGCAATAGTGATGAGTTCTCAGGAGTAAATCCCACATCTCACCTCTTCTCTACCTGAAAAGCCTGCTGTAGTGTTTTCTTCACTCTCTTAGACTTGTTCCAATCTTGGCTCACTGTTCTGTTCTCTTGTCGGTTTCCAGTGCCAGATTCTTTTGCTGAAAATGCAGAGGCCGTAGCAACATCTGCCCTTCTTGTCGCGCTTTTATCTCTACCAAACCCAGGGTATTTCTACCTCATGGACAAGCCTTAGCTTTCTCATTGGCTTGCTAAGATTGGAGGCTGTCCTTACAGAAGAAAGGAAGTGGAGTAGTACTTACGCACATCTCATGATGTCTCATTGCTACTAAGCCCTCTTGTCCTGGTGTGGAGATGATGTTATCTGGGGCTGAGATAAAGAATGAAGATAATTCTGTTTGCAGTGTGCTGGGACACCAGTCTGTCTTGTCCTAAGCATTCCATGGGAGAGGGAGGGACTTTACAGAGGTGTTGGGTTTCTTTTTTACATAGAAATAGAATACAAAAGCCACTATATGATCTCAATTTAAATTTATCAAAACATATAGTGACCAAGAACACTGCACACCAGGGCAATAAGTTGGTTCTTAACAGACACTTTCCTATTTTTCCCCTTCCACCAACGATTTCCTCTGGACTCTTGCACTGAGTTACGTGTCCAAACACATATGCTTTCAGGCTGATCATCCATGGTGAGTAAATGCCTGGGGTTACACACTAACCAACCTTTGGCCTCAAGCACAGAGAAGCAATTCTTCCCCCAAAAAGGTGTGAATCCGGGATGCTAAAGGGCACTTTCACTTCCTTTAACAAGCCAGAAGCCATATCTGGTTAACTACGTACAAGCTTCTGACTCATGTGTAACGTTTATCCTGTATAGTCTTGGAACAGGATCATATGTTTCCAATCCCTGTATTTCATCAACCACCTGGGATGGTTACATGGGCCATTTTATGTGGTTTGCAGGAATCTAAGAGGCCCATCTGAAACCTAGTACACGAAGCAGGGAGCTAGGACTTCTGCAGTCTGTGGATTAAACTCCAATCAAGAATATGGATGATGTAACAATGAAATAGCGATATTTTCTCTTCTCAATGACCGAGTCCTAACTTCATGTTCTGGGACTTCCTGGTCCACTCCTTCCTCCAAGGGAGATTTTTCCCACCAAGACTGTTTCTCTACTAAAAGAAGAACCTGGTGGGTTTGCAATTCCTTTTCTATGGAGGGTAGAATAAGAAAGCCAAGAGGAAATGCTTCTGTGTAATCATATCAAAAACTAGAGGGCTAGAGAGATGACTCAGAGCTTAAGAGCACTGACTGCTCTTCCAGAGGTCTTGGGTTCAATTCCCAGCAAACACATGGTGGCTCACAACCATCTGTAATGAGATCTGGTGCACTTTTCTGGCTTGCAGGCATACACGCAGGCAGGAAGCTGTATTAAATACTAAATAAATCTGTAAAAAAGTGACTAGTTAAAAATGAAAGAAAAAATGTTTAATAAAAAAATTAGACCAATTTCCAGAAGATAGCAAATGTCATGCCAGCACCTCTAGTACATATACTTCGGAGAGTTGGGTGGCAGCTATCATGAAGAGGTAATGAGCAGGAATCTCTAGTTTAATAGCAAAGTAAAGTACAAAACAAAAGAAATTCTTACAAAACAGAATATGAAGAGCCCAGTTTGGATGAATTTGCCTGGTCTAGGAAGCTAGCCCTCTTCTCCTAATAAGAGTAACCAGACCTAAGACAGAGGGCATTGGCACATTCCCTATTAACAGGCATTTTAAAGAGAAAAGAACAGAGCGAAAGGTTGCAATCAATAGTAGAAAAGACTATGAATCCCTGTCTACTCAGTCCTCTACCATAGGGCAAGATACCATTTTAAAAAGAGCCATGCTTAGTCATAGCTTGGCAGCCTCAGACTATCTGTAAACCATACTCAGGAAACCTAGAACAAGTTTTGGCAGTTATAAGTTAAATTGTAGCTAATAGAATTACTCTAGACCATAGGAAGAAACTTTCCACCAGAACTACATTGGTGTCTGTGTTCGTTGAGGAGGAAACTTGGGTCTGCAGGGTAACAGATTCAGCTTCGAAGCATCAGCATGCCAAGCACCAGGCAGCTGCCTAGGGGCAAGGTCAGCATTTTCAAGGTGATGGTGAAGACAAGGCCCAAATCTGTGAGCCCGTGCAAGGGATCACAGAGTAAGAACAGTGTTCAGAACCCCTGTTGGTGTGACCAATGTCAAGGTGTGACTTAGGCCAGCGAATGTTTTCTGACTGATGGAATCAATCTCTGTGACATGATGTTAAAGGAGGACAGTCAGAGTTGGGGGCCAACATTCACAATGAACAACATCCACAAACAGACTGTCCAAAGGTATGACCAACATCTGTGAGAGGATCCATGAAAGACTGTTCAATGATGGGGCCAACATCTGTGATCTAACTTTTCAAAGGTCGGCTCAGGGAGGTGATAGGCATCTGAAACTCTGGGAAAGAATGTTGAAAGTCAAGGCTAGGACACTATGTTGTATATTGTAATATTGCTCAATGAATACTACATCTAAGTAATCACTGATTTGTTCTGAACTCCTGTCATTTAGTTGTCTTCATGTTTTAATTGGCACATAGTAACTATGGATTTTATGAGATACTTTATGTTAATCTGATGCATAGACATAAAACAGGGTATTAACATTTTGTCTTTTCAAAATATATCATTGCTTTGTTTTTGAGGGCATTCAATAAAAGAGAGTAACTCACACATGCTGTAAAGAAGTAGCACATCCTTCTATGTGACTTATTTATCTAACTCCCTTCATCTATCTTTCCCTCTTCCCTTCCTATCTTCTAACAACTTCCATGATACTCTCTACTTGGATTCTCTGCAAAAGCAGCAAGCACTGGTAACACCTGAGCCATCTAGCCTATCCTGAATTTTTAACAAAGGTATTTGTGTATATGTTATAGAATTGAGACTTTTAAAATAATGCTGGTACATCATAAGCTTCCAGTAAGCATTTGTCCCCTTCCTTTGGTTTTACATCTCTAAATTACCTACCAGGTAAACTTAGATTTATTTGTTTGTTAAACAGATACTTATTATGCATAATAGTTTGTGGAAGGATATGCCCAGTCCTTTGGAAGAACAGCAAAGAAGGGCTTAGACATGGATGCTAACAGCTTAGGAAAAGGTAGTCAGAAAAAATATAATGTCAGATGGAGATAGATGGTTCCTATAGTATTTTACCTAAGGACACATTTCTGTAGTGACTGCCTGGTCTGTAGAACTGTAGGATCAAGAAAGGCTTGACTAAGAGGAGACTATCCTGACTAAATCATCTCCTCCCATAGAAATTGCCAATAATTCAGCTAGCCGTAGGAATTATTAAATGAGAACACTGTGAAATGCAAGAGTAGTAAATCACAATATTGATAAATTGGATGATATGATTCACAGTTGCATGTCGTAACTTAGCATGGCTAATATATATATATATATATATAACCACTAAAGAAACAAGACTTCATTTACCATTTACTCTGGAATTATCTTGGAAAATACAGTTAAAGACAATTTGAGTGACATATTCCATTCTCCAGCAAACTCTCTGATGTAGATGTCCTCTTCTCAGATCATGCTCTGGAATGAGGACACTGTGACAAGAGTGATGACACTTCTTAGAGAATGCATGGAAATCGAGGCCAGGCTAGCAGTAGGAAAGGCTGATATCAAGGTTTAGGGAGACTGCAGACAAGACACACACTAGAAGCCATATATGGTCAAGAGTGTAACCTGATCTAGTGAACAGATAAGAAATCAGAGTGACTCATGGAAGTTTGTCTCTTCCAGCTGGTCATACATAGTCATGAAGGAGATTTCAGGCCTGGACCTCATGCCATTCAATTTTCATATGCATCCAAACTTTTGATATTGTAACATGGTGCCATCTACAAAATTCACGACTGAGAACACAATTGAGTTTTTAATTTTTTTTCCAAAAATATTTGATAATGTTTAAGTAAGTTTGCAGTTTCGCACCGGGTCACATTGATTACTGTCTTTGGCTACAAGTAACCCCTGGACTGAGAGTTGGAATCCTGAGTGTAGGGCCTCTCATGTGCTCTATCTTTGCTTTCTCCTCATCATGACCTAGCAGATATAAATGTCTGTGGTCTTGGCTCCTTGTATCTGGCCTCCGTGAACTTTATGACTGCACACTGTTATCCTCTACTCTTCATAAACATAGTTTACAGGTGCCCTCTTACTTTCCTGCTTCTGAATCATCATTAATGAAATCATGTGTGTGGGGACTTTTGGGTTCCTAATCCAAAGTTAATATTTCTAGTTAGCACCAACCCTGGACAGGTAGTAATCCAAGACAAGGGGACAGACAATATATCCCAAGAGGTAAGAGAACTAGCAAGAATCATGCTTTATTGTAATGAAGACATCAATGAATGACATGTCCCTATTACTAGGCTTTGACTCATGTTCCTAAGACATGGTATCTTGAATTTAGCACCTGGTAGCCTATAATAGACAAATACCATCAAAGACATATGTATTTTACCTTACAAGTGACCAAACTTAAAATCAAACACCACCCTATAACAGGAAAGTGAAGAAAATAAATATCCATTATGCACAATTGTCTGGTAGATGTGTTTGTTGAAGAGCAGGTAAGAGGCCTTGCTTGAAATAGCTTCTTTAACT